TGAGGAAGTGCTCCAGGATGGTAAGCGTTTTTATTCATTGTAAACCAATCAGAGTTCAGGCTACAGAGTGAAACTCAGAAAACATGAGGTTGATTTTTTTTTCATGGTGGAAATGAAGGTTTTAAGATGGCCTGGAAACAAGAAGACTGTACAATCTGTTTTCTGTCCTGCTGCAACAGCAACTCCCCAAAAATGTATTTGTTTATGGACAATGAAGAAACATACATATAATAAATCATTTTGACGGCATAGTATTACATTATTGGCCATTTGGTCTCTGCTTTCCTCATTTCTGGTTCTGATCTGCCATTATGAAACTTGAAACTGTGACCTTTAGCAACATAACCGACTGTCAGCTGTATCAGCTGCAGCTAGACTCCATTTAACAGTTTCAACATAAGATTTATCATATCTGGAACATAACAGTCAACATATATTAAATTGTAATGTCCATATGGTGCATACTGATATTGCAATAGTGATATATTGTGCAGCCTAATATGTAAAATGTTGCTTAACATTTTCTTATTACTGAATATATTGGTAGTTATAAGAAAGCAAATACACAAAATATAAAATAATGAAAATAAACTGATATGTGCTTAATGAAATGTTTCAAAGAAACTTTGATAAAATTTTGTCAATTTCTTTTAAAACATTATAAGGTCAGCAAGGCTTTGTCCCCAGATTCTTCTAGGGAAATGTTTCCACTAGAAACTGAGAAGCAGTTCAAAAGGTTTAGATCTTTCACCTTTTAAAGGGAGAAGAGGTCTTATCAGTGCATAGTAATTTTTAAAAGAAAACAACAAAGAAGCTACAACATTTTTCCATCACTGTGGTTAGGTTTTGGACAGTGAAAATCCAGAACGTAATCTGCTGAAATGCAAATCTTTCTTTGTAGTGCACACTCTCATTTACTGCAATAATTGAATGAAAATAAACCAAAAAAGTCAGCATGGGTGCTCCTCCCTTAGGGTTGACTAAAATATGTTAGAAAACACTTTCCTACCGTTTCTCTACATGTTAAAAAAAAATGCTTAAAAAAATGTGTGTATTTTTAGTTTTTTGAAGAAAACAAAGTTTACAGCTCCAGATTAATTTAGTTTGAATAAAAAGTGGTTCTTTGTGTTTTCCTTCAGGTGTGAGAGTGTTTATCGAGAAGAAGGCTCAGCTCACCCTTTTAGGAACTGAGATGGACTTTGTAGAGTCAAAGCTGTCCAGTGAATTTGTCTTCAACAACCCGAACATCAAGGGCACGTGTGGCTGTGGGGAAAGCTTCAACATCTGAGCGTCGCTGAGCCGCCGCCCCTCCCCGGCTCAGAACCCCGGCTTTTTTCTCTCAAGACTGAAGAGACTGCCGACGAGGAAGTTGGGTGTGAGGAAATCAACGCGATGTGGACACCGCTCAGTTCCTGCCGCTGCTCTTCCTGCAAACCATTCACACACCAGATCAATCCAACTATGCATTTTAGTTTTCCCTAGATAATGCTTCAAAACAATCTGTAGTCAAAGCCAGAAATGAATTTAGGTTAAAGTTCCTCTTGTGTGTAACTGTTCTCAGTTCTGTGTTTGAGAAAACATCAGGACCTCAGAAGCTAGATGTTTTCATTTAGTCTACAACCTTTTTTCTTTTCTTTTAATATTTTCAGTCAGATCTAATGGTAAATGCAGGAGAAAATAGTGCAAGAAGGTGTGTTCATGAAATCAGAGACCTGGAGAGGTTTTGGTCCTTAAAACTGTTAGGGTTTAGGATGTAATAAAAATCCCATTTCCACTGAAGCCCAGATATTAAGGCAAACCAACATCAGCTCTTTGACAAAAGCACTGCACTGCAGGGTCCTGTTCTCCAGCCTAATCTATGGGATAACTGGAGGAGCTTCAGTGTCTTGAGGCTGTGTTTTTTTTTCAGCTTGTAACATTGCTACATATGTATTTATATGTGTGTAAATAGAAGAAAAATATGTAAATTCAACAAATACGCACAAAACAAACAAACGCACAATACATTTATCCTCATGTAAGAATACACAAGGTTTCTGGTATTTTGTTTTAGCCCGATCAGAGCCAAGATTGTTTGTGTTGACTGTGTGCTCTTAAAATCATTAACCTGTGCAATATGTCTGTGTACATATGAATAATAAAAAAGCAAAATGAAGGGCTCTGTTCTGTTTCATCTACAGTTTGCTTTTATGACTTTAATAGATTGTAATGTTAGATTAATTTCATTCAGTTCAGTTTAATTATATACCTCCAATTCTGTTTTTACTAGATTAACAGGTTTGGGAAGAAATCCTCAGATGCATTTAGTCAGGTGTACTTTCTATGGGAAAGGAAAACAACAAAGCACATGTTGCTATGATCATTTAAATTCCAACTTACTGAATTCATAAAATCTAGCTGTCCTCAGCAAGAAGCTGTCTTATTTGCTGAAGGACAGCCTGATATATATATTTTTTGTTTGTTTTGGGATTCTTGAGGTGTCATGGATGATCTAAACAAGGATGACGATCCTGAAAGCAGAGAGTTTTGTGGGATTAAGGTAACTGAGGTAAAAAAAAAAGTGCTATTTAAAATAAGATGCAATTTTGAGATTGCTCAAATGAATGTTTTTGGCCAAACAAAACCTGAGCTCCTGTCTACGTCTTCTGTAATGTTTAGCGTTGAAACCTGCCGTTTCTGACTCCTGCTAACTTTTGCACCCAGGTCCGTTTGAGAAAGATGATCAAGTCACTTTTGCTGTCTTTTGAGTAATAGTCCCATCTTGCAGATTTCAAATTCATATGATGCACTGAGAGATAAGGTTTCCTTCTAATGGCTGCTGGTAGATCCTGTTTGGGTATTTTCAGCTTTATAAAGCAACCAGCACACACACAAAAAAAATGCTGCTCATTTTTCTGTGCTGGTTCTGTGTTGGTCTTTTGTTTTTGTTTTTCAATCAAGATTGACAGAAAACCTCTGAAAAACCCTCAGAGATCCTTGAGAACGACTGATCAAAAATATTTTCAAGATAAAAAAAATAACTTCTTTCAAAGAAATTTAAGGATTTGCCATTTCCTACACCTCACTAAATGCCTGATTTCCAGTTTATAGTCAAACTTGGTTTCTGTCTTACACTTCTCAGGTGTCAGACCTGTTGATTGCTTTGGCTGAGAGGAGACCGCCACTTTGTGACATCTCACAGTCTGACACCAGAAACATCAGCAGCACCTTGTCCATCCTGAACCAAACGGGGAGAAGCACTGCTCTTCGATCCAGAGCCATTCTGCCTGAGAACATCATACAGCTATCCAACTGTCAGTTTAAGAGGACAAATTATCTGGTAGAAACCTTTCCAGATTCAATACCTAATCCCTTCACTGTCAAGGGATTTTCTCAGGAGGAGCACCTCGTTGCCTGTCCTTTCTGCGGTGCTATAAGGGATGTAAAACCCACCTGAGCAAATGCAATGCAGATTAAAAAGCAGTAAGAAAAACAGCTGCACATCATCAGTGTGAAACGTTGATTCAAGAACTCATTCAGTGAGAATTAGTTAGCCTCTCTTAAATTCACCAGTGCTTATTGAAAGCTTATTGAGCCTCAGTAAACCCAGAAGATCCATACTGTACTGACTATTACTCTGCCAACATAAGTAGATCTAAAAGCTTTAGTCTTTATTTGAATGAATGACATACATTTGCCACACATTTTTGCCCCAATCATCTTTTGATTGCCACAAACAACAACAACAAAACCCAAATAACGTTCAATAGTAAAACATTGAACGTATATCCGGATCACATTAGTCAAATTAGTGAACACAATTTACTCGAATAATATAATTAACCATCAGGGATGATGCAAGAGTAGAACATTAACTTTGAAAGAATTATTAAATTTTGTCTCTATGCATATATTTTTATTTTATTTTACAAAAAAACATAAAGAGAAGCACAACAGCTCCCCTGCAGTGATGTCAAAGTGAGTTTAAAAGGAAATCTATATATCATAACAGCTGAAGGAGATTCAGTGCTGAACATCACCCAGGGGAGGGGCAGTTTGCCAAAGACATCAGGCTCTGCTGCTGAGATGAGACAGCGGTTCTTTGAGTAATTCTGGTGTTTCGAAGAATCCAAGGTGCACAGCTTCACTTACCATCTAAACAAATGTTATAACAGACAAAAGACAAACTGAGCCGCAAACCTGGGAAATATTTGCGGTACAACTGGATATTGTTGCAGTGCTTAGAGAGAAAACATGAGCAAGAAATAAATGTTCTCACCAAGAAGGAGCGACACTGAATTCAGTTTAATCAGACATGTTTTACTTCCATCCATCAGCCCCATATAAATCGGTAAAACACTAGATTTTTTTTTCATGTCTTTTTGTGTTGAAGCCTGAATCAAACAGGCGTTAGATAATCTTTGGACATTCTTCCTCTGAAATGCCCTTTTACACAACGATGCATGACAGAGATCAGATTCTGGGTCATTTCACTCCAACTTCTCCAGCGGTTTATGTTTATAGTGAATAGTTTCAGAAAAGCCTTTAAACACTCCTTTCCTGCCATTGTTCTGTGTTACATGAGGAGCGTCACAACGGGGAACTAAACACTTTGTTAGTACTAAAATCACACAAATGAGTGCTTGCATGCAAAAATTTAACACTCATATTTAAATGTCCATGAATAAATGCCATAAAAGTATTTTGTTGAGTGACAGAGAATATAAAAATTGTGGAAATTCAGTTATTTTCAAATGATCAAATAAAACAATTGACCAAAAATTAATAACAAGCCAAGGAGCTAGAACCACAAATTTCACATCTTGTTTTTCAAAATGTCAAACTTTTGACACCGATACCTACAGTTGGTAAAGTGTGTTTGAACAGTTCAAACTGCTTCTAGTGAGAAGACAAGACGTACTGTTCCACAAATTCACTTGCCCTCTAAAAGGGAAGGTAAACTCAGCAGGTAGAAGATAATACAGTACAACAATGCAGCTTGTAGGCGTCTGTCTGGTGCATATTTCAATTTCAGTCATTCTTCTCCCAGTTATGTGATCAGAGACAGGATGAGAAGCCAAAATTTGTTCTAAGGTAAGTGTTGTATATCTGTAAATAATATTAGTCAAGCCAAATAAAATTATGATGCTATTATAAGAACTTTTTTATTTACTCATGTAGCCATAGCATAACTCATTGCTACCAACCATTGGCAATTACTCTTTGGGTAATAGGGAGAGGATGACTTTAAATAACTTATTTTATCTTTTAAAACTTTTTTATATTTACTAAAGTTGTTCTTGTCTGATACTGGAATTAGTTTATTTGAAACAACAAATTTGGCAACAAAGTAATAATAGAAGCCATCTTTAAGCAGACAAATACCTTCTTATGCACTGCAAAGTTAAGTCTGGAGACAACAACGTGCTTTTCGGTTGCAGGTTTCAACTCAAATGCTCTCAGCGACTTTGCCATGTGACTGTTCAGAAAGACTTAATTGCTTTATAGCCTCTCATGAGATTCACGAGCTGGAGAAATCACTAATGTTTGTCATGTTTCTCTTGCATCGAGACAGATCCAGCTGGATTGAAGGATGATGTTTGAGTTGCAATTTCAAAAAAGTCAGACAATAATTTATATAGTTCCACCAAACGAATATAACATGATTTTTCCAAATAGAACATAGAATGCTTTAACAACCATAGGTCTCTGTCTAAAGACAATTGTGAGGGAGAATAAAACATTTTTACTCCAGACAGGTGAGTAAAACATGAACTCACATGAACTCTGCTGATTCTAAGAGGGTTCTGATATAGACTGGAAGTACTTGTATGAAAATTATCATGTTGAAACTGCTGTGTTTACTTGTGTGTCTAATGCCATTGGAAGGTAGAGACTTATTTCCTGTATCAAGTATAAAAAGTTATGGGTTGAATAATTCTAACACTTTCTGTCACTCAAGTCCAGTGATTTAAACATGTGGTATTTGGTAAAATAAGGATTTGAAAGCTTCTTAAGATTTCAGTTTCCACAGTAAGGTACATACTAAACCCTGAAGGGCCTGAATACCAAGATCTATAGCACTACAATGAGTAACTACTAAATACCAATGAGTTGTTGTCAAATTTGAAACAGTAATCGTGATTTTATGTTCTATTTGGAAAAATGTTTGACCTCTCAACTTATCTGCAAATCAAACATCATCCTTCAATCGTCTTTTTCTCTTAAATGTATTTTTACATTTGAATCACATAGAAAACAACTTTATTATGGCCACATGGCACTACCTAGTGTCACACAGTGTGCAATACACTACAGAAATCTGATGGTTTGCCTTTTGTACTTTTCAGATTCAGCCGTGTTCATGTAATCTCCCTTTTAGAAAACCAGGTCAAATCAATAACAACACATCTTGCACATAGTTTTCTTTTTTCATTTCAGCAGATCTGAGAGTGAGTCTCAGATAGAAAACACCCTAAAGCCGTCTGTGTTCAAGTTTCCTAAATTGTAAAAAGGTTTATGTAAATGTAAACAATTCAAAGCGACACAACCTTCATTTTTCTACAATTCAAATTGTCTGAAAGATTACCATATCTTGTTTTTTCTGTTCAAAGGTCCTCTCCAATAACAAGTCATTGTTATTGTATGGGGATTTTCCATGCTTCCCTTTCCAGCTTTACGCTGATGACATTCTGATATTTTCACATGAGGTATAAAATGAGGAAAAAAAGCACTTGGGAAGCAGAAAACGTGTATTTCATTCCTTGAACATTATATGACATGGACACCCTCATTTAGAATTTTTTTAATGTTTATATCAGGTACTTTTTCAAAATTTTAGAAGGAAATGTATGTCGTGGTTCAGCATCATTTAATCTGTAAAACAGTGAGAAGTCATATTTAGAAGCAAAGAACCTTGAATTCTTATAACTCAGTTATAAGATTGAGAAAGTGTGATTGACTCAAATTATGGAAGTTTATGAACCTGGACAAATGGGCATAACTGAAGGAACTATGAATTATGTCTCTACCAGAAAATCCTGAAGTAGGAAATCTGGACCTGGATTTTTGTCTCATAACTTGATCGTTAAGATTATGCAAGAGATTATTACAAGAAGAACTCGTTTCATTTCACAACAGAAGCTTATTGTACCCGCCACAAATTAAAGGTGTCATCTGATCTTCATTTGGCTTCATTGAAAGTTCAGAGTGACTCAACAAAAATCAGTCAAGTATATAAATCAGAATTTGTTCGGATTTTATTTTACCAACTGTTCTTCATTTTAGTAACAGTAACCGTTACTTTAAGTAGTTATGTTTTTTTTTCTTTTTGTTCTGTTTTTGGTTTTTACTGTTCTTGCGCTTAACTTGCAAAAACTTCTGTGAAATTCAGTGCTAGAATGTACAAGATTAAGAAAGTATATAGTTTAAAGCGGATGTAAAAACACTGCTACAAACACATCAGGTTTAAATTTCTTACCACTGCTGTAGGTAGCAGATGCAGTTTGGGATTTTACTAGATTCCCCTGAACGCCTCACTTTCCACACGCATCAAGCGGTGGCAGTCAAGCGAAGCTCCTTAACTCACAGCAACCAACCGAAGACCAACTGAAGCAACATCCCTCATCTGCACTCTGGAGCTTCTTTACATCATGGAGGAGAAACAAACCATCAACTTTGGAGCTGGACCTGCCAAACTGCCTCAGTCTGTAAGTTTGCAGCCGCTCGTTTTCTTTGCGTGCATGTGTCTCGAAAATCTGCCAAAAAACATGACGAGCTAGTTTGCAGAGATATCTGCCTTGTTCGTAAAGATCTTTTTGACGATCTGTGTTGAAACGTTTTTATTTTGCTGATGCACCCTTGCAAATGTTTATTGTTTTTTATTTTTTTATTTTATGTTGCAGCGTTTATTCTCGTCTTTAAATCGCGTGTCTGAACTCAGGATACTTAATTTTCCCATGTGAAATGGGTAATTTTTCCCGTCGCGTTGAGCAGTTACGCGTGAAAACTGGTGTTGGTTTTAGTGCCTAACAGATGGTGGCAGCTCATCAGGCTGAAAACTGCTTGCTGAGTTGCATCAGCCTTCGTTCATTCATGTGGAAACCTGCTTCTTCCATTGTGTTTCACTGGCAGCTATAACATCCAACCTCTAGATGGCAGAAAAACCCAGCTTGTTCAGAAAGAAGAAATCACAGCACAGACTTACCCAACAACTGATCAGTTTAAAATATAAAAACATTCATAGACAGAGGTATATTGATCTAGATCTACGAAGACAGATGAATTGATAGATAAAGAAATCTGGATGCTGGGCGTTAATCTTGATGGTTAGTGTGTCAGGCCTGTCATTTACCTTCATCAGCTTCAGATCTTCCCTCACTCATAAATTTGGAGGTGAACATTTTTTTATTCATGCATCATTAAAGTCTTTAAATGCTCAATTAATGGAAAGCGGCAAGTAAAGTTTGCAATAAGCTCATTATTATGTTGAATGATTGTAAAGTATAATGGCTATGATGGTGTCAAAACTATAATTTCAAATTCCACTCCAGTAACTACAAAAATAACCAATACATTATATTTCCTTTAGCTCACCCTCTCTGCCACTCCACCAAAAACAAACAAACAAACAAACAAAAAAAAAAGCACAATAAGAAACAAGAGTTAATTTTGTTCAGTTAATTTAGTTTTATTTATAAGTTGTATAAATAAAATCAGCTTTAACATCTGCTTTTAGGTATATTCCTGTTGATTTTTTGAAGCTAAGGATATTTTTTTAACCTAATGGAAATTATGTCCCACCGTAAAGGTTAACATTTTTCATTGAAATCAACCTGTTCTGATTGTTTTCTGATAAACACCAAAACCACCTGAGTATAGGCTTACATTTAACTGTTTTTCCAGCTGTTCAAACGTTATTCTTGCAAAACATTTTTCAAATCTGTAAAACATTGATCACCATTTGTAATGAAGAGATGCTTCATCTGTGATGTGTTGCAGGTGCTGCTTCAAGCTCAGAAGGAGCTTCTTAACTACAATGGCCTTGGGATCAGTGTTCTTGGTGGGTAGGAAAACTGATCTGGGCTCAGAAAATGTCTGGAATCCGGCGTGAATATTATTGAAAAGAATATCTAACGTGCTGCGTTTTACTCTTTAAATCAGAGATGAGCCATCGATCAGCAGATTTCACCAAAATCATCAACAAGTCAGAGAGTCTGCTTCGAGAATTGTTGTAAGTGAAAGTTTTAGTATTCCATCCATTGCTCTGTTCAGTTTGTAAAACTTGCCTTTTCTTCAAATATCCATTAAGTTTCTACTGATTTTCTTCATGAAAAATGTCCAAATGCTGGATGTTTTAGTCTGAAAAACTGTGGAATGTTGACATAAAAATTATGTTAGGACTCAATCTTAAATATATATGTAAAAAAAAAAAAATTGGAATACCGCCTAAATAGTGATTTTTTTATTTTTTATTTGTATTTTTTTTAAACATTTTGGTATATCATGAGCTGCTGCTTGTTTGTGCGTAGACCTGCCCTCGGCCTGGGCGTCGTAACACAGTGACTTCTGTCTCCACAGAGATATCCCAAACAACTACAAGGTGTTGTTTCTGCAGGGCGGTGGCTCTGGACAGTTCAGTGGCGTTCCCCTCAACCTGATTGGCCTGAAAGAGGACAGGTGCGCCGACTACCTGGTGACCGGCACGTGGTCAGCTAAAGCTGCAAAAGAAGCAGAGAAATACGGCAAAGTCAACATCATCCACCCGAAACTGGACAGTTACACGAGTACGTGTGCATGGCAACGTTTCATGATGTCGTCATCTGAGCACAGAAGCTGATTTTAATTTTATTTTTTTCACAAAAAAAAAGTAGTTTTAAAGAATCTCTCCAGATTTTAGAAGTGGGTCATTGTCATTCAGGCTGCGTCAGGAAAGGAGCTCAGAAGAATCTGGCATCTTTTCCAGCGTATTACATAATCAACAATAGACCCAACTACCAGTGAATGACTCTGGAATGAAGCTGCTTGTTCAACATGGTTGTGTCTCTTTTGAGTTCTCACAGGGACTTTTTGTACAGTAGTACTTGGAAACCTCCAAAGTACTTTTTAATCATCATTATGTCAGCAGAAATATTCATTTCAACTGAATTAAATGAATATTTAATTTAAAAAACGGAATGAAGGGGCGCTTTACAAAGTGATACAGAGTCCAATTCAGTCCAAATTGAGTTCTTCTAATTCATTCTGGTGCAGTCCAGTCATTTAGTCAGATTTGGTTACACACAGTGTAATTTAACCTAATTTCTAACATGATACAGTCAGATTCAGTTGATCAGGACACAAAAAAACAAGATGCATGAAAGGAAAATAAATAATACCTAAGACGTGATTTAAGAAAGTAATGAAGATGAACACACTTTATTTTAATGAACTAAAATGCGTTTATTCTGCACAGTTTTTAAAAGAACTGTGTGTATAATCTTTTGCATTGTGAAATTAATTTATTTTTTACAAATATAGCAATATAACAGGAGTCAGCCAGACTTCTCCAAATAAAACATTGATGCTCAACTCATTAAGTTAAAAATCATCTGGAAATCCTAGAAAATTGTATAAAAATGACTTGTGGGCACTTTATGTATTAATATAACATTTTAACAAAGTTGATATAGAAACTGAAAGAAAAGCCAGCAGGCTGGAATAAGAATGGTTACATATTTGTACAACACAGTGGTCAAAGTTTCATAAGATGGAAAAAGATTAGCTAAGCAAAATTTTGTATATGATAAATTTCATTGGGGCATTTTTGCTTTAATTCATTTTTATTTATTAAACATTGCATTCCACTTTTGACACATCTATTTAGGCTATTAGTATTTAAAGAATTAAGCCTCTGCTTTGAATAACTATTAATTTAGCTTTCGCTTTGTTTTGTTTGTGCTTCTTCCAGAAATTCCCGACCCCAGCAGCTGGACCCTGAACCCGTCCGCATCGTATGTGTACTACTGCTGCAACGAGACGGTTCACGGCGTGGAGTATAACTTCACGCCTGAAACCAACGGCGTGGTCCTCGTCAGCGACATGTCCTCCAACTTCCTGTCACGGCCCGTCGACGTATCAAAGGTGACAGCAAGATGGATCTCACTTGTTTCTCCCTTTCCGCACTCGCCTCTTAGACGTTGACGGAAACATGTCTCGTGTTTCAAATGGTTGTGATCTAAACACGTCTTCCTCGTACTGCCAATGTGTAGTTTGGGCTCATTTTTGCCGGCGCCCAGAAGAACGTAGGTTGCGCCGGCGTCACGGTGGTCATCGTGCGAGAAGACCTGCTGGGCCACGCCTTGAAGGAGTGCCCCATTGTGCTGGACTACACGGTGCAGGCTGAAATGAACTCCCTCTACAACACTCCTCCATGTTTTAGGTAGATACTTTTCTGTTTACGGCATGAGGACGTATCATTCACATAGATTTGCTCACAAGTTTAGCTGAAGCTAACTTAAAAAAAAAAAAGAGAACTAGCCAAAATGTTTTTGCTGCATAGACAGAAACCTTTATTGAGAACAATGAAGATGGAGTGAGAGAGAGATTTACATTCACTCTTTTTGCTTTAAGGTGTTTAGCATTTTGTCAATAAACAGAAGAATAAGAGTAGTTTTTTTTTAATTGATTTCAAATCCTGTTTATTGGCTTCAGCATCTACATCATGGGTCTGGTTCTGGAGTGGATCAAGAATAACGGAGGTAGCGCTGCCATGGAAACACTCAACAAGCAGAAGTCCTCCATGATTTATGACATCATCAACTCGTCAAATGGTTTTTATGTGTGAGTACTAAAGCTACAGGAATTAACTTAAAATACTAAGTGTTGCAAAAAAAAAAAAAAAAAAAAAACCTGTAAGAGACGAGGCTGATGCTTTCAGAGTGAACTTGTTAAACTGTTGTAAAATTTAGCACAGAAGTTTAACTTCAGTGGTCTCATAGACAAACCATTACTCTGTGGTCAGGGTAAAGTTTCCTCTTACCATATTTGGAAATACAAAATCTAAATAAGTTGACCAATTTAGTTTTTTTTAACTTTAGGCTATTGATCAATCTAAATTGCCTTCAGAGTAATAATTCATACTTTCAAATTAGTTATTCACATAACCAAAATAGTTGACCCTCAGATAATACTAATAGTTCTGTAACAGAGAACAAAGCCTCACTATTTGTGTGGTCATCCATTGGGTCAGATGTCCTGTGGACGCTGCGTGTCGGAGCCGCATGAACGTGCCTTTTCGTGTCGGGAAGAAAGAAGGAGATGAGTCTTTGGAGAAGAAGTTTCTGGAGGGTGCAGCCAAGCGGGGGATGATTTCACTGAAAGGACACAGGTCCGTTGCGCAACCACGCACCTCATATTGTTCCACATTTACATTTTTACCATCCTGTTCTTCCTGAAAGACTCGGGTTCCTTTTTTGTAGGCATAAACAGGAGTGTTTGTCTCCCCCTGCAGGTCAGTGGGAGGAATGCGTGCGTCCTTGTACAATGCTGTAACTCTGGAGGACGCTGCAGCCCTCGCCGACTACATGAGAAGTTTCCTCAAAGAGCACCAGTAAACCAACAGCACTTAAAAGCACAAGTTGTCACTTTGTTTCAGAAGATTTTCAGAGTAAATGTTGAAAATTAAATGTTTTGAAAACGGTTATTAATTGTTCCCAAGGGACTAAGCCCACTAATTCCACATTAGTCTTATTTACGTATGTTTTATGTAGCAGTTTGCTTTATTTTTGTTGACTAAATACTGTTTTAGTTTCCAGTACTTACCTTTCAATAAATCTACTTTGGAAATCCCCTTTATTTCGTGGCTTTAAGACTGAAATTAATTGTCTTTGCTGACTTTCTAATTATAATTGCTGCAAAATCCTTAAGGCTAAATTAGGTAACATGGATAAAAATGTTTTTGCATATTTATTGAAATATAATAAAGACAATGGGGGGGAAAAAAAATCCAGCATGCACAAAAACCTAGGTATCCTCATTGCATCACCTAACTAACTTAGCCTCTGCTCTCTTAAAACATTGCTAGCATAAAATGTTTCTTATCAATACACACAAAAATGTTAAATGGCCTGTACATGTACAGTTTTATTTAGTCCAGAGAACTCCAAAGAGTTTTATACTACATTCATTCACCCATTCACGCACACATTCACACGCTTATGACAAAACAACTGATGCATGATTTCATTTTTAATGTGTTCAATTATTGTAGATGTATCTGGGCGTTAACCAGACAGGCTGCTAACAGATTGAAACCAGTTGTATTTGCACTAATCAACCGCTAGGTGGAAGTGTTAGTCCAGAAACACTTTTTCTGAACAGCAGACAAGATGAGAAAACTGCCATCCAATTTAATTAGTCTTTTGTATCATATAATGTTTTATATAAAAACATTATCTATGAAATCACATCCAAGAAGGTATTAGTATAACTAGTTCAGATGATTCATTAGAAAAATATTACTTGGAATATTGATTAAAAGGTAGATTTTTATGAAAGTTCTCTGTAGAATTTGTTTCTTTATTTCATGGCAACATGCAGCCAAAACCAGACAGATTTACAGACCTCAGAGGAGTTTATGTCACAACCACTGGTGAAAAATGTCCTCATCAGGAGGGATAAAACCATAACCTTCACTGGAAATATGCTCCCTGCTTTACAATGTTTTATATATATATTTTTAAAGCTTTCTCCCAATCTATTGGTACACAAATACACCCACTTTCCATACACAGAAACATGCTGTTAACAGAGGTTTCTGTGGCGATACCAGGAGATGTGCATTTTCAGAAGCAAACATGGTTCCTCAGTAAATTACAGCTTTTCTGCTGGTGCAAATTGATGTGTGGCAATAAAATGTGTTGGGTTTGTTATTTTTACTAAAAGGGTCTTACTCTAGGAAAAACGGCATAAAATAACACAACGCAGCACAAAAGACTGAGGTTGTAATCCGTGATGAAGCGCAAAAAAGGAGGCAGATTGTCTCCACGCTGATTCCAGCCGGTGACCTGAGGAGATGTAAGAAAAAAGAAAAAAAAGTTTCCATTTTCTTACTTTCATTTTAAGATGTAATAAAACACAAGGTAAAGTTGATCCAGCAGTTATTATTTTATATAACATCCCAGATGATGCTTTCCAAAAAGTAATTTTGGCTGTTAGCAAATATCAATACCAAAAGCAGGGGAGAAAAGGCTGGCTGCTGCTGTTGACTGTGGATCACGAGGGAGAGAGATGTTGGTCCTGCTGTGTGAAGCTTTGTGTGCTGAACGGCTGACACGTTCCACTGCAGGCACATATCGCTTAATGCCTGAAATCTTTGCGTTAAAAAACATCCTGCATCCGAGTTTTCTGAAATATTCTGACGCTTACGTCGCGGTTATCCTAAATTGTGTGCTGAAATGCGTTTGTGAGTCTCGTTCTTTCATTTTGGTCCTTTTGGTCGGGGAACTCTGCTAGCAAATCTGCTGATTTGCTGGCAGATCTCTGTAGGTTTTAAGGCTGTTGGCATTCTGAGTATGTCATCTGAAAATGTGTCCTTTTTCTAAGAGAGCCTTTAATTCAAAGTGTCTTTGCCTCAAAATGAAAAAAAAAATTTAATATTAAAGGAAAGACTAAAGGCTGAACAGTTTTGACTTATTGGTGCTCTGCAGTTGTAAAATAATGAACCTTTTTTTTTTTTTAAATATGGTTTTTATGCTGTTACTCCCCCTAACAATTACAAAAAGCTTATCAAAAAAGATAAAACATACAATGAACACTCAATTAAACCACAAAAAAAAATAATTAAAATGAAATCAACAATTGTAGTGAGTGCAGGTACCTGCACAAGAGAAAATTCATAGAATTTCCAGATGTAATTTGATTAAAAAAAAAAAAAAAAACAAGTTTTCTGCAAAGACAGATCAGTCGTACCAACCACCTGTAATCATGTGAAAAATACAAACTCTCAATGAAGGCTTGTTTGCTTTTCTAGTTCCTGGGAACATAGATATTTAATACAAGTTTGAACAATACTAAAAATCATGCACAAAAAATTAAAAAGATGTAGAAAAGACCTTGTACTAAATAATTAATTAATTAAGACTCACCCACTTTTAATCCTACTTGAAATGGAAAGAACTGCTAATCAGCATTCCACATCACATGCATATGGAAGGAGTATTATTAGGCGTTTTGAAATACAGATGAAGCAAACTGTCGACATGCCCAACTTCACCCTAAAGGTGGATTTCAGGATGCTATAAAAGTGAAAGTCTCCTAAGCTGTCCTCACATGACCTATATCAGGTAACTCAGAAACAAACTGTTCAAGTTTCATTTTTAACAGGAAACATTTGTAAAGAGGAAACCTGCCTGAAGGTCAGACTGAATGCTGCTGGAGTAATGTTCTTTGGACAAATTAGTCTGAAAACTGAATTATTTGGAACAGCCGGACCTGGCCAACATAATGTAACATGTCCTATTAATTATACAGAGCATCAGAGGAAAGAAGTGAGGGACATTTCAGCACCTTCTATTAAGATTGCAGTTTCCTAACATTTCATATAAAATGAGCTTTATGTAAAATCTGATGCTTAGGGAGTAAAATAATGTTAACATTTTTGCTATAAGTGCAATTAAGTCAGTTTATTCTCCGGAGGTGAATAAAAGCATCAGCATTTGAACATTTAGTAATAACTGAATAGGGAGTGTCCAGTTTTTTTTACACAACTGTAACATCACAGGCAGAGTAAAAATTTGAGCTGCTTGAAGTAAAATGATCAATCAAACAGTAATTAAAACAGTAATTATGTTATATCTGCAAACGCAGAAGAAGCCGTGCTTCTTTGGGCTGTGTCATTTGTAGGAAAAATATCTGTCTCAAAAAGTCCTTCATAAATGTAAATTCACTAGCTCTTTAACATTTGCATATCATGCAATGTACTTTCCAATCCTTCAAAGCAACTATGTGTTATTATGTCTACATCACCATCTCTTCATACTCTGTCAGCCTTTTCTATTCTGCCAGGAAACCTAAAAAAAAAAAAAAAAAAAAAAGAAAAATCCCAGAAATGTTCACGATGCTGTTGCAGATCCACCTCAAAGCAAGAAAAAAAAAGAAGAAGATGAAAGATAAGAAGGAGCAGAGAGGCTTTGAAATGCGAGCGGGAGTTAAAGCAGAGATGGGAGGTTGTGACAGGATTGTGTGGTGATTCTCGGCCCGTCAAGCCCATTAATGTCGAGGTAATGCCACCGGCGAGCAGCAGTAAGACTGTGATAATGAAAAACACCGGGGAAGACAATATCAAATGGCTCCTCTACATCCTGCAGTGGAGATTAGTCTACTCCAAAGCAGGGTGGCAGAGGCACAGGAGGCAGAGGCAGGCTTTAGTGCTGCTGATTGAGTCTCATGTCAAGAGCTCCATGCATGCAGCACGAAAAGTTACCGTGACTGACATTCTTTATGCAGCCAGGGACCCACACACAGATTCAGCTCACACTGCCTTGGAAGCTGTTTTCTATAGATACAGTGTTCTGCAGCTTTTAAAAGGAACATCATAGATTTCTGAATGTACCCTTGGTCCTGATGTTTTCCTGTTCTGTGCAACTGTTCAGAAGATGTCACAGCTTTCCATTAGATATGGTTGCTAGTTTATGAATGTGCAGCACTGCTTGTTAATTTGAAATGACTGTCTTTCTGTCCTTCAACTTACATAAACGCTTTTTTCGCTGATAGGATTAATCTTTGACATAGTCGGTTATTTTTAATGTCGGAATTTCTTACGTGTGAAGACAGATAACAGATATGTTTTTATGCTGAACATGAAAGCAAAATTGACTCTTCTATATTAGGCATTGACTAGTTTTGATATTTTCTATTCTAAAAAACTTTTTCTCTGGATAGAAATGCATCGTTGTATGTCTTATTAACAAAGTGACATCCAACAATGTCCGTTTGTGCCCCCTTCCTTTAGAACCAATCAAGAAAAACTTGCGGTGAGACACAAAAATGTTAGTAAATGTAAAAATTAAATCAGTTACTACAGAGTTTAACTCAATAAAAGCAAAATTGGCAATGCAGGTGCAAAACAAGCCAAGACAACAGTGCAAATATTGTCTTGACCTAAAGCCAACATTTCAAAGGACTAACTTTGAGCCAAGATGGCTGACATGCTCAGATAATCACTTGTTACTCTTAAAGAAGATATTAGTGCTTCATCGAGACGTAGTACTGTGTAATTCTGTAAATGTCGGGAATGTTTTCAGGCCAACAAACAAGCAATTTTGACAAAAACCCACTAAAAGGTTTTCATTCATTATAGACAAAGGTATCAGACTATAACGTGTTTGATCCCGTAAGACCTTTGACCTCTTTACGTGAAAATGCCAGGACAGTAAAGCGTAAAGATTTGACAATAAACTCCATATGGAAACTTTTAAGAACCACAATATGAATTAAGTTGGTCTAAATGCAAACCAAAAGCATTTGGAAATGATGACATCAGTCGTGTCATTTTCTGCATGTGCATTCAGTCACACTTTTCACAACGCACACAGCATAACAAAACGATGGTGGACCTTTGTGATCCGTCTGTGCTGCTACAACTCTTCAGATTGTTTAGTGTGTTAAAGCAAAATCTGCTCATTGTGAAACATTTATGCCTTTAGTAAAGACGCAGTGCATGCACCAGGTCATATTTGCACCTCTGTGCTCATGAAAAGTTACAAAAACACATCTGGATCAAAAGGTTCACAAAGTTTCACCACCCCTACAGGCTTACATGATGGAAAACGGTTTTTGGAAGTGCCATGATTAGGA